GTTTGCAGTTGAGTTTCTACTTTCTTAAGCCTTCTTTTTCCTAATTATGTTGGTTATTCAAAATGTAATTCATGTAGCTTTCAGATATGAAGTTAACAAAACAAAAACCACATCACTCACTAGATTTGATTGTATGAAAACTACTTTATTCAAGTTGGCTTTCTAGCTAACCTAGAAATAGGTTAAAAGTTTCATTACTTCTTGGATCAATGTCTTTATCCAAACCCACTGAGCTCCAATGGGAAATTGACCTTTGACTTTTATGGTTTAAACAAAACAGACAATCATGCCATTTTCTTTTTGTATGGGTTATACATAAGGCAGTCACAAATGTTAAAGACAATTATTAAAATTATTAACATTTTTTAAAAGACAGGATGTGATAGAAGGGGTGTGACAGGTTGGTTTACCTTTCTGGTTTACATCTCAGTAAGACAAGAAAATTGCATGCTATAAGTTTATATTACACTTTAGCAATAGTTATAATATAAGAGTGTAATTTGTTCCAAACACAGATGACCATATAACGGTAGAAAAAAACAACAACCTAAATGGAAAATTCAGAGCAAAGAAGTGTCATGAGATACAGAGAAGTCAAGATTGATAACTTATTAAAATATTTCCTTTTGAAATTAAAAAATTAAAACTTCTATAATAATAAAATTTGAATTACAAACTATGTTTTGATGTCAAGTTTATTGTTATATATATTGATAATAAAGTTGTTTAACACTCTTGCTACAGACATCTGCACACAAGTCATGAGGTTTTAGTGAGTTACATTCAAAAGTTAAGTATACAAAGAAACTTGGAATCAAAATTTAGCTAACAATCAAATTCTAATATCATATAAGCTTTAAGTTCTTAATTTTATAAGGCAATATTATAAAAAATCCTCAATTTCTCCTAATCCAAGAATTGTAAGATTTGCTTTCTAGGTATCCCCTCTTCTCTAATTTATTTACCACTTCTCTGAGAACTACGAAATTTTATGTAAATTATTCATTATAATGTTATCTCTCAGGCAAAGCATAATTTTATAGCATTCAATCTTATTTGGTTACACAGCCATAAACTAGAAAATCAGATCCCTGTTGCCATGCTCACCCATCTCATCTTCTTTTTTCACAAATTGACAATAGTTCTCATTATTTCTAACCATAAAAAACAAGGTTTTAAGCTATCAAATGGCGTTTTTTGGTGCAAAGCAACTAGGCTATCTGCACCAAACAACTGGTAAAAACCTAAACTAAAATTGATATAAAATGTAAAAATAAATTGAGTTAAAACTTGGGTTTACCCCTGACATTAGGCAGTGTCATTGGTGATGGTGACATTGTCCAACTTGACCATGTTTTTAGCTTTTTGCGGGTTTTAGGCCTTTTTAATTTATTTAAATTTTTTATCTCAATTTTGGACATTGTTTGTAGAAAGTACATGTCGAAAATGGTGCTGCCACTCATGGTCGTAACAATGGCTTTTGTGACTTGAGTGTCAAAGGCTACACATAGGTGGGTCAGTACCAGATAAAAGAAAATGATGTGTTAAAAAACTGATGCATAGCCTAGCCAGGGCAACTTCCTCCTTATGATCCTTATGGAAACAAGATGGCCAAAGAGCAACAGAAGGTTTGATCTGTAAAAGCTTGTTATGACATTGATCACCCCAAGTCAACTGCCAACTGGCACAAAGCCAGGCCTTCAATACAAGACCGTAGTCCATATATGGAACAGGCCGTGACGGTACCAGAGCAAACAGATGTAGCTGCAGTGTCAGCGAGATTGTTCCTGGGAATAGCGATGTGGCCAGATATCCAGAAAAACTGGATACTAATGGAAGATGGAGCTGGGCCAGTCATTATTGAATATTGACGAGAACTAACATTAAGTGATTACAGGGCCAGTAGAGAGCTATGAAAGTCAGTGTAAATAGTACAATCACTGTACTGCATAGCTTCTACACGATCCAGGGCAAGAGAAATGGTACACAACTCGGCAGTGAACACAGAAACTGTAGATGGTGATCCTGTGAGCAACCACCGAGCCACAACAAACCATGGCAGAGTCCACAGAGTCACCTGATTTCAAACCATCCGTATAAAGGGGAACAGAATGATGCATCAAAAGATGTTCATCACAGAGAAGACAGTACTTCCAATTGGGAGTATCCACCTTTCTCAGATGACTCAAGGTAAGGTGACATGTGGGAATGGTAATAAGCTATGGTGGAATGGGCTGGTTAGTGGGGATAGCAACATCATCAAATGCCAGACCCAATACATCCAGTTGCACCTGGATACAAAGAACAATCTATTCTGAAATAGCATGGCCCACCGAGGAAGAAAGACACAACCCCAGGTGGGATGCTATGGTAAGGATCGAAGTTTTGTAGCAGACTGTAGAGAAAGTTGCAAATAGCAGAGGTGAAGAGGAGATTCATGGGACTCTGTGTACAAACTCTAAACTGAAGAAGTGTGGAAAGCATCCGTGCAGAGCCGAAGCCTCAGATGGTGAATGGGGTCAAGCATCTTCAAGGCCAAGGTCCTGGCAGAACCATAGACAAGTTTGGATTGAATGAGGGCACAATAGATCTTGAGCATAGAATAACAATCCACTCCCCAAGAGGTAGAAGAGAGGACATGGAGGATGTTCAGTGCCCTTGTATATTTGACACATAACTGCTTGATGTGAGGAATGAAAAATTTTCCTTACACCAGAATGACAGGTTGTGTGATGGGCAAGTGTATAGAAGGTTGGTGCTGCTAGTTGACCAGTGCGTGCCCACCTTGTCTATGCCACTAAATCCACCCTTGGAGGCTGTAGCCATCTGTGTTTCCTTGCGTTGTACCATTGCTGTTTGTTTTCTCTACCTGTCTCCAGGAGAGACTTATGATCAATCAGACCTTGATGCTCTCGTTGAACAGTTGCCATCTCCTTTTTATTCAGAACTTTTCATTGGACAGGCAATTCCATGTCTGTGTGGGTTTGATTATTCTCCGTTCTTTTACACAGGAACTTGGAGTTCTTCAGGGCTGTGTCTTGAGTGTCACACTTTTCAGTATCAAGATTAATGCTATCACTACACAACATCCTCGTAATGTTGCAAACAGGCTCTATGTCAACAACTTTCACATCTTGTGTTGGTCGTTGAATATGAGGTATATTGAGTGGCAGCTTGAGACTGCCCTCAATCGCTTGTTGGAGTGGACCACAGCAAACGGTTTTACCTTTTATTTTTCCAAAACCGTTTGTATACATTTTTTCCACCAGTGGGGACTACACCCCGATCCCAATAGTGTTCTTCATGAGGCAAACTTCTTGGGGCTTTTCTTTGACCGTACTCTTACTCCTCCACCTAAGTAAAAATGGCCACGTTGCTACAGTGGAACTGTTGAGGTTTCTGTTCTAATTTGGATGACATTGAGGCCTTGATTAATTCCTATTAATCTGTGTGTCTTTCCTTCCAGGAAACATTCAGGAAACCTGCTGATACAGTCACCTTTTGGCCTTCCAGTGACTGCCCAGGTCCATTTCCTTCGGCACCGGCTTCTGGTGCCTGCTTGGATCCATCTTCTTAGGATCCGAGATGCAGAATGATTATTCGTTCATGCCCTTAGTTGCTGGAATCTACATCTACTGACAGAGACCTGTCCACTCGACTCAGGGCAAGATCTGTAAAGGTTGACAGACACCCTTCTAATAAAGAAAAAATGGTGCGGTTGTAAACTGAAGGATTCACCACCCAGCCCAAATGGTGGGGACAAAGAGAGGAGTAGACATGGACTTGTCAACTCAATTATTCATTGAGGTCAAAAGAATCTTCACATGGTTGGAGAACAACTCTGTTGGAAGCATGGAAAGATTTGTCTGCATTCCCACTGTCGCAGTGAAAATTAATGTAGCAGCATATATCCACGATGGAATGGGGGACAATAACCTCCAAGCCTCAGGGTAAGAAATGTTATGGACAATACGTAAACACTATAACTCCTTCTCCTCCCCCTCTTAGGGCAAGAACGGTAGTAGGAGAGGTGGAACCACCACAAATGATGCAGTGAAGGTCCAGTTGCTGCTCATAGGCATCATGGGCTTTGTCACCACAACAGGCATACATCAAAAAACCACGACAAGATGCCTTCAAATGTCTGAACTGCTGACACTGGAAACACCTGAGAGGGTTAGGAATGTATGGCCCCACCTTACAGTTCAGATAGCTTGCTTGATGGAGGCAGGTGGACGTGGTGATGTAAACATCAAAATTAAGACATCTTTTGGCAGCCCATCATTGCAAATGGAGATACGGCACACAGCAGAAATCCCTTGGGTGGAGAAACCAGTAAGGATCTCCAACTCAGAGATATTCTTCAAATCCCTCTCAATGATCACTCCTCGGGAGGAATTCAAAGTAGCATGGGGAGTACCCTCAATGGGTATATCTCCAATGGTCATCGACCTCAGGAGGAGTTTGCTATGTGTAGGTGTAGATGTTTCCAACAAGATGTCTTCAGAGCGCAATTTCCTGACTGACTTGGGTGAGCCAACAAGCCCCTCTAATCCCTTTTGAATGAAAAAGGGAGACATTTTCCCTGAGGATTTGTCAGATAAAGAATGATGGGATAGGTTCTGATTGTGGTGGTGATTGCATAACAGAGTTGTCCATGCATGGTCATTTACCGAATAACTGTTTTTTTACTATCTTATTTTTTGGAGGATCCAAAATAAATAAAAGATGATTTAGATCTAAGAGTAGGTAAACTGAAAATACAGAACCTTCCCTGGGAGGTCCTCTCACCACGTACAGGAATCCAACTCAAGGAGCCTAATAAAATGGAAAGTTAGTGTAGATATATATACTCAATGATACATTGTGAAATTAAAAAAAAATTGCTTAATGTCAAAGGGAGATTGCTATTATGATACAATGTTAAGATTAAGAATTACAATAAATATACATAAATACTATAAATATACATATAATACTACTTGATGTGAAACACTTACCATACATGTTCGGGAATTCTCTCCAATGAACGAATCCCTCAAAACCTGAGTTAGTTTACTTGCTCTGAAAGGTAGATGGGCTCCTTTATGTCCCAAAGCTCGAATACACTCCTGAAACAGAAAATAGTCTCAGCACTTGACTGATAAGATTCAATGCAAAGCAAATTAATCATATTTTATTGGTTAAATCAGTACAGTTCTGTTAAAACGAAGAATAATAGAGGACTGGTAAAATTAGTGACCAAAAATCATTATCTGAATTAATATTCAAGTAGTAGCTCATTGAAATACATTGAAAAAATGGAACTTTTCCATACCAGCTTTTGGTCAATAGGGTGTCAAAAGAAACAAAACAAAACAAGGGATGTTTACATTTTGTCTGGAAAGGTAGCTGTTTTTTACAGTAATATTCCAGAAAAAATAAAAGAATTACTCTAATACCAAAAAAAGTAAAACAAAAAAGATGGAATTTCCTCATAATTTACTATATTGCTAAGTCCACAGTGCTATGTGTTTAAAGTAGTTTAAATACAAATATCTTCACACAGTACTAAAGAATGTGTCAAAATATCTAAGCAATAAAAGATGAGAAAGGGTTGAGATATAAGGGTCAAATATCAAGAAACCTATGCTCGTATAATAAGGCAAAATACTTAAGTGTGAAGTAAGAGGTGGATTTGGGCTATTTGAGAAATGTTTTTTAAGTATATGGCTTTGTTTTATTCTTGTTACATGTTCTAATAATGTATGAAATTAATTTAATTTCATCTTGAGATACCTTTGGAATTCTAAAGGTCACTCTGAATGACCATTCTGTATTGAGCTTGTCTTTAATAATAGTCAATTTTTTCATTTATTTATCTATATTTTAATTTTTTACATTAATCAATTATTTGTTTTTATTTTTAGGGATGATAATAATAATAATAAAACTTTTTATATCTCTGGCATACACAGGGTCGAAAAATAGATTGTCTCACAATATTTATAATCATAAATATATTGAAAACAGAAAGAATGCTAAATAACAACCAAAGAAAGCCAAGCACAATAATAAACTGGTCATTTAGAGTGATATTTATAACCCCAAAAGTATCTCCAAATGAAATAAAATTCATTTTATGCATTAAAAAAATTGATAAAACAGTCCTATGCATGAAAACACTAATATTCACATTACTATTTGTCTTGTATTTCAACACCTCCTCAGTTTGTATTATACATATTTTGATATGTTATGAAGTACTGTTTGAAGATGTTTTTCTGTTAAAAACTAAATTGAACTTTAAAAACTGTGGATTTGATATTTTAATATTCAAAATCATGTGATAACTCAGGGTTTTCTTTTTTAATCATCTTATCTGCATATGGACAAAATGTAAAACATCTACCATTTTGTTCCTGTTGCCCCCATAACCCAATTGACCTGAAACTTGTGTAAACAAATCAATTTTTTCTTTGTATTTCAATGGGATACTACTTGTGTACTAACCCTGATAACTATTTCTGGTTCCTGAGTTTGCAGTCCTTCTTTAGCAGTCTCAGTGAATAATTTTTAATATCTACACAAAGAACAAGAAAATCATAACTAAAATTGCTCACAGACCCAAAGGAATGTCTATGTATAAATGCAAGTTTCAACTTAGTATAACTTTACAAATAAATTCATAAAAAAAAAGCACAAAACATTTAATGAAAAGTCTAAATATGCTTTTTTACATGTCATAGTCAAAAGATAAAAGCATGATTTATTTATGAAGCTCACTTGATCTCAGATGCGATTCTGAAAACAGAGGCAAGAAACCGTCATTGACAAGATATAGAAAAGGTCTCACCTTAAGTGCTAGCAAACTTTTATTTATTTCTGCACCTTCCATTCTAGTCTGCCTGTTTGCACTAGAGGTGTCTGCTCCACGTTCATTCCCTGCCAGGTCTATTAAGGAAAACTTCCCGTGAAGTCGACCTGTCATCCTAATGAATAAAAAAATTTAATTAGTCTTGCTGGGAAAAAATAAGGAGCTGTGGGTAAGAGAAAATTATTTTTGAATTTCTTGAATAACATGGATACATTATCACAGATTAATGCATATGAGCTCCATTTCACAGTGAACTTTTTTCTCTCTTATCTCCACAAACCTGACATTTTTTTTGTTCAGTGAGAGATGATAAAACACTTTATACTCAATTGCATGCTTGTATATTTACCAATGTTTAAAACTGCCATCATATTACTACAATATTTTCTTGGTTAGTGTATGTAAAGTCTATACAACCCACTTGTAGAACATTCAATAATAACTGTTTTTGTAGAACAGAACAATTACCTACTTTTAAGAATTAGTGGGTCAGGTAAGTACCTACTTTTTTCTTTACCAATCCATGTTAGGGAAGAATGCCACTTTTACCATTAAGAAAAATAACTTCTAAAGCTTAGATATTATTAGACTACCTGAACCTTAAGCCAAGGTTTGTTCCTCATAACATCTTCACCCACAACATCATGGAAACTAAAGCTTTATATACATTTATTTGAGGAAGTAATTTTTGGAATCCAGTTGGTGAATAACATGAAGAAATTAAAGAATTCATAAAACATTTGTGCACATGAGATTATAGAACTAACATATATCAATATTACACAGTTTGTGTTTTGTTCAGAGGTTCTTTTTTAACTTCCTTTATGAGTACAATAATTAATTTTAACCCCAAGTAACTGTACCAGTAAATTATGGCTTAACAAGGGCTCAGTCCCTGGGACCTACCTCGTAACCATTTTGTGTTTGTTATAGTTGTCATGTTATAACTTTTAAATTAGTAGGCGAATGTTAACGAAAATTGTCAGATCATCAGTAAATATTACAATGCTTTCATACACAAAATATAAATTTTTTTATTAAGTCTTAAGGTTTATAAAGCAATGTTTTTCTCATGTCTTATTTTTTTTTCACATGTTGTCTATTTATCATGCAAAGTAATATTCATTTTAAAATTAAAAATACTTTTATGCATCAGAAAATTTTGAAATTTCATACTCGAAATCTTTATAATGTCGAGATACTTATCAAATGTTTCTTAACAAAAAAAAATTATATTTTATCTGTTATTTTTAGTAATTTATCTCTGTATGGGTTCGGTAAATTTGACCGATTTTACAACCACAAAAAAATAAATAAAAATAAAATATATATATATATAAGTTATGCCTCTTTCATTCTAGAATGAACACAAATTATAACACGAAAACAAATGTTTAGACTAAATAGCTTAAATCTCATAACATTGTACATGTATGTATATTTATTATTTTTATTATACTGACCTTTGAGCCGTACCTGGCTAACAATACAGAAGTTACAATGACAGGGATCACATGCACTCGTGTTACTGTATCAAATAACATAAAACTGACCTTTGGTCTGTGCAAAGTAACTTGTTTTGGCTGTTTTAGTAGAGAATTTTGTAAAATACAGTCAAATTTTAATTATTATACATTATATATATGTATATAGATTATTGCTATTTTGAAATACACTCTTAAACTTATTTGTCTTAAAACATAGAACAATAACTAAAGAAGAAAAGCAAACAATTATCTCTTCCAGTTACAATCTTTGTACTTGGTTGCTGCTTGATATAGGTTGCTAAGCCTTTACAAAAATTGCACGTGGAAGATATGAAATAAAATATTTTTTAAAGTTTTATATATACATTTGAATAATTAAATAAAATCATAAATTCCAATATTAATACCATAGAATTCCACTATAATTTATCAAGCTTAGTAACTACGATGTATTTTAATCTAAAAGAATATGAAATTTCAAGCAGACTAAAGACACACCCTACGTTGTTGAAATATTGGTTCGAAAGAAAGAAATGGTGCCAAGTCTGTTAAAGTGGCTGATAAAGCCACTAGGGGGACATTCTGAGCTTTTGATTGGTTATTCATATCATATGTAGAAGTGTATATAAGGGAGCATTTCCAAAAATGATAAGAGGTTGGTGGGGTGTTTGATTTATTAGATGAGCAATATCTTAGCAAATTGAAAAAATAAGAGGCTCTTATTTTACATTCTAGTTTGTCTATATCTGTAATTTGAGTTTCTAATTCATTCGAAACCATAGACTTAGTATTTTGACTTCACAAACATCTAATTTGAACCAGTGCTGCATTCAACATACCACATGACACACAAAATTCTGTTTATCTGTGTTTTTTCAATATTTGCTTTTAAATTATGAAACTACGTAACATATAGTACTAAAAATTGAATTATAATCTACAGTTTGATACCAAATTTATTGACATAAATTAATGAAATAATAGTTCCATAAAATTTTGAATGCGAGTCAACAAACGAGATGACATGGCCTTTCACCCGTGACCCGTCTCAAAAGGGTTAATAAATAAACCCATTAAAAAACAGATTTTTTACTGCCATGTAGATAAATTACAATGAAACCGATTAAAAGTAGTATTACTGCTTGTTAGCAGGAAAGAAGTTGAAGCAACTTATCTAAATTTTCTTGCTAAAGGGTAACACTTTGTTTGAAACATCACAAAATGAGCTACAGCGTGAACACATTACCATTATCAAGAAGCAACTGAAAAATGAGCCAGAACATTTGAAAGTCAAGCAAGAAAATTTTTTGTATCCTTTGAAATTTATTGTGAAAGAGTAAATTCTCAAAAATGTATAATAAACTTGCATGTCTTATTAAGTTTCATAGAATTACTAAAACTAACTGCCTAGATATTTAGCTTTGTATACATGTGTGCCAATACACTGAAATAATAAGAGCAAACATCTGGAATCTTAAGGTGATGAAAAAAAAAAGACAATATTAAGTAGGTGTATGCAAATGTAATAAATAAAACATAAAAATTAAAATGAATACACAATTAAAAACACTTTTAATTATGTACCCATTTTAAAGTTGTGTTATTTATTGTTATAAAATTATACACAAGCACCAATACTTTAGATGTATGCATACACAGCAAAAATGTGTCATTCTACAGTAATTATAGAATGAGACAATACTCAGATGTTTAGTGAGAAACTGAAATTAACTTTGTAGAGTTCTTTGCAAACTATGTGGGCTGAAATTACAGAACTTTAATAACTATAAGTAACATTTAACTGATTTTACTCTAGCTATTTGCAAAAAGATGGTATATATTGCTAAATATTTGGAAAGTACTGTAATAAATACAATTTTATATATGTTTTGTATTTATTGTGTTTGTGCATCTTTTAAGATGTTGCTCAGCATGTTTCACACAAAATGTTTTCTTTAATTTGACACATTCAATTAGAAATGTACATTTACACTTCAAATACACTTACTGTAACATAATAATCTTTAATTACTAAATGCTTTAATTCACAAAGCTTTAGTTATTTGTGAAGAAGCTGAAAATAAAACCATCAGGCTTTAGTAAGGGGTGGAAGGGAGTCTATAAACTAATTAAAAGAATACAGGACTTCAACTGAAATGTAAATACTTAGTGGGTTACATGAAGTTTTGTCTACTAAACAGAAAGGTTCCTGTAGTTCTTTTATTGTCTTTACCACAGAGTTATAGCCTCTTTCTTGCATTATACAGAACACATCCTAAATGTGAGCTTAATAGAAAATTGTTATTCAGTGTCTTCAGTAGTTACAAAATTCAAATCTAATTTAACATGTTTTGGATTATGGTCTTAAATGATAAAAATTAACAGTATAAGCAGTCTGTATGTTTCCAAAAAATGGCAATATACTTATTTCACAGTTTTTTAAAAATAGAATAAGAAATTAATGTTACTATGGATCAACAATAATATGTTTTGAGTTATGTGGCTTCTTTTCCTTTTTTCTTTAATTTTTTGCAACATGCCTGACCACCATATAAAACACAATGAAAAAGATTTTCATTAGGTAGAAAATATTTGGGTAGGTATACATATTAATTATATTACCAATATTGTTTTTATTTGAAAAGGAATAATAACTTTTAATATCTAGAGAGAAAGTAATTCTGTTATTAATTACCTCTTTTTTAAAATGATCTGGAAAACAGCATGCGACCTGGATGAGTGCTGATTGGCTGAAGTCTGCCCTGACGTTCTGCGTGAAAAAATTTTTTAAGTTCATTTTGTGTTTAGGCTATATTAACTCAAATATCATGATAAATTTTAAATATTGTGGAAATGAAAATAATTTGTACAAAATATGAATATATTACTGTTTTTATTACTGATGTGGTTGAATTAAAACTTATAGCTAAACATTGAGTTACCTAACACAAATTTGTTGAGCTTATACAAGGCTAAGTTTTTACAACTACGGTATACACAAGTGCAGTTCATAATCAAAAATAAGCAAAAGAGACTGAATTAACAGTTTAATAAAATTTGATGAACCAATAATCATACATTAAAACTGATAAAGGTTCTCAAATGCCATTAAACTCCATCATGTTGCATGTTGCTGGGTTTGTACTTTTCACGGATGACAACTTGTAAAAACTAATACTGGTAGCAACTACAATCTCTTATAACTTTGCACGTATGAACTGAGGAAAATAAGAGCATTAGCAATGTCATCTGATTTAGACTACACTTCAATGTGAAAATCAACATTACATCTCACAAAGTGAAAACCTCAAAAACATTTTTTAAAATACTTTCATGACTTTCTGTGGTAATTCTATATTTTACACTTAATACATTTTTATTTTTGATATCAGGCAAATACTTCACTTATCAACCTCACATTGATAAGATAAACTTCTTTACTAGATAGTTTGGACTATAGTATTCCTTACATCGATGAATGGTATTATACACTAGAATATAGTATCTTAAGTGTATTTAATTTTGGAAAGTGAGGGCCCACGTCTATAATATTCAGTAATTCATCCAACATTTTATTAAGTTTTGTATCTTTCATTCAATATCTAAACATTCTGCTACTTTTGTAAACCATACTTCTCAGATTTAAACCTGAAATTATTCAGCAATAATAACAGATGCTTGGATTTGTGGCATAATTTAAGCTTCCTTTTAATGATTTATACATGATACCTCAGTAAATATTTCCTAAATTATATCTCCAGTTAACAAAAAATACAACTTAATGGACTAAAATTTTTAAAAATGTAGGAAACTAAAGTTATTACATTAAACATGTTGTCAGCATGAACTATATTGTTGTAATGTTAAAGAAAAGCTTTTTATGATTGTTTTGTAATATTTAAAATAAATTTTAAAATTCAAGTATGTCATACTAAGCCTATCAAATTTAAACTTGATGTAAATAGATTTTTTTAGTTCTATAATTAAAAGTGAACTGGCAAAAGTTTTCGCTGCATTTTTCTTGTATAACTTAATTTAAAAGGAAAAAACACAAAAATGTTTAAATTTGTTAAAATGTATTTCAGACCTAAAGGGTTTCTTTAAAATCAGGTTTAATCAAAACTGTTATTATCAATTATACAATGAATTACTAATCCCTGAGCAAGTACACATTCCTCCCCGACCCACCCTAACTAATCTTACCTGACACTGTTACCATGTTGAATTAGCTTAAGCACATCATCCACACATTCTACAAGGTTTTCCTGGAGACCAACTACTTGTACCTGCTGTTTGCCATCTTCCAGGACTCTTAATTTAGATTTATTATTCAACAGATCAAACACCTATGAATATACATGTATTAAAAAAAAAAAAAGGAAGACTTAGCATAACTTATACAGATGACAAATTTCGGGATTGACCATACTTACTATATTGAATTCAGAAGACATCCATTTTTAACACTAAGAAAGTTTTAAGCTACTTTTAAGATACTTACACAAAATCTTGTATTAAAACTATTTTACACAGATCATTTTCTCAATAAAATGTAAATTCCATAAATATTTGGTATTCAAAAATCAAATATGAGGTGGTGCAGGTTTTATTGGAGAAGGTTTCCTTAAAGTATTGTTTCTTCCATTGTTTAAGAAAAAAACCTGAAGATTTCAATAGACCTAATGATAAAAACACTCTAAACAGCAATGTTTTTTTTCACACTGCTTTTAATTAGTCTATTATGCATTACAAATCAGGAGTACGCAAAGACACCATTAAATGTTTTGTACCATACATAAAATAGCATTTTGAAAAATACTTTTGTCAGCCAAAATATCTAACCCAGCTGGTAAGTTTCGGTACAGAATGAAAGGCTCTACAGGCACTGGTAAGCAGTAGACAAAAAAATAATTTCAAATGTTATTATTACTTGCTTCCGATTTGAAATCTGTAATGGACTAATTAAAAGAAATGTGAATAAAAAACATCTGTAGCCTAGTGTAATTCTTATTATTAGAGATGAAGATCTGTTATTAGTTCTCAGCTGAAAGTATGTTGTTTTTTTTGTCATATTAAATTAAAATAGGGTACATATTTGCAGAATGTAGTAGTCTTATGTTCCTCAATTCTGGCAGTACTTCAAACATATAGAATTGTGTGAAAGGTTAAGTTTTTCTTTACTTGAATGGAATTTTACACTTTTGGAAATTTTTTATAAATTAAAAAAAAGTCAGTTAGAATTTTTAGAAAATTCTCAGTAGTTTGTGGCTTAGTTTTGATGTGCATGAATGGTGGTGTTGGGACTTGTTTATGATTTTGAGCAAGTGGTAAAATTACTTTAAGATATTTAGATGAAATTGGGTGGGGTTTAATCAATGGCCTGAAAGGTTTTCTCTTTCTTTGATTCAATTTTCTTTATAAAGTTTAAGGCATATACGTAGAGGTTAGTAATGACTTTACATAGAATTGGAGAAAATAGGTATATATTAAATAGTGTGTGAAGTTTTTCTGCAAATAAAAGGGGAACAGTGGTAGATAACTTCCAAATACAAAATTATTGAACAGAATATACAAATTCTACAAAAACTAAAATTGTTTGTAGAAATCATTTTAAAATGGGAATGAGGTGATATGTGATGAAAACAGCTTCAAAAGGTCAACTTTTAAGATCACTTGGGGAAATTGTTAATGAGAATGAAACAAACTGAAATATCTTAAAGCCATAAGAACTTATGCTGATTTCAATTTTTTGGGGGTAAGTGGGGGTGAAACTGCTTTTATATTCTATGTGCTTCTTGAGATGATGAGCTAGGTTAATATAAGACCAAGGTTTACTGAGAAGGCAACTCTATGGATGATAAAAATACAATACAACTTTACAGCAACCTTATAAAGATAGATTGATATATCAACCGTTTCAAAATTTCAAGCACATGCAGTCATTAGCAAATTAAACACTTGTACAATTTACTCTGCACAGCCATCTATAAAATAAAATCTTCCACAGCCTCACTCTGTATTGTTGTTTTATGCTAATAAGCCATAATATTGCACCCTTGTCCGAAATTGTTCCCTCTCTTAAAGATTACCAGCAAATTCAGAGCAAGTAAGAGCCAGGATTCAATAAAGAGATACTTAATATTACATCTTTTGAAAATAAATTTTTTAGTATAGTCTGAAAGAGAGATGACTCATAAATAATTCAAAAATCAACCATATAGACATTCAAACAAACCAAAATGCAAGAGAGATTTCTGTACACAAAATAAAGTTATAAATCAAAACGTTTCTTAATATAATCTATTTATAAAGAATCAATTAATAGCTTAAATTATTTTACTGTAAGAATAAGTTATATATAAGTTATGGTCTTCTGTTAAAATTAAACCTACTTTTCCACTGTATATTTCAAAGAAACTGGATGTCACAATCAAATCTTCACTTTGGTATTTAGCTGAATTCAGGAACCTAAAGACATCTTTTGCTGTATATGAAAGAGAAGTGTTAGAAATTATTATCAAACCAAAATAAAATATATTTACATTCAAAAGCAATTAACATTTGTTTACTGCAGTTTTGATATCAACTATTCAAATTTTATTGGCTTAAATAAATCAACTGAAAATAAACACTAAATAATATCCATCAATATACAAGTGAATCATACGTATAGCTTCTGTTATTAGCTACTTTTATACTACTTGAATTGGAATTTTCAAACTGAAAAGCACTTAAATAAACATAAGTGGTCATGTCAGTGACCCTAAGAGTTCAGGTATAGATGTTCCTAATTTTGAACTACTGACCAAAAGAAAGGTAATCAACCAGCAGAAATCATAGCCACTAGGGCTTTCTGTGGCACTCTGAACTGAGTAACATGATAGATTCTAATTCTTATAATGCTTCCACAACTGAAAGTGCACAGTGTGTTTAGTGCGTTCACATTTCAAACAATGAACCTTCTGAACTACAGCCCAACATGTTAACTACTCGGCAATGCCTAATCCCATTTTTCTTAACTGAATCTTCTAATACTTACTTTGTTATACCACAATTTTGCACAAATGAAAAATAGAGAATGTATATATATAAAGACAGATAAATATTAGCTATATACCATCTACATTTCAATCATTAATCTCTCCATCAACAAGTCTGAATGATGAGAAGAACTGCTACACTGAGAACAATATTGGTTGAAAGCAGTCTAACAAAAAGTAATGCAAGATAAAAGCAGTTTACAATATAAGAATTGTTTAAATCTGTGAGACAGTGATAAGTAGCAGCTTACTTGTTTTTGACAATTTCATTGTTTAAATGAACAATGTTGTTACAATCAAGAATACATCATTAGTAAAAACAAACAGTAAAATATTTTAATTATACAAGTTGGTTACAAGTAATATATAATGAAACGTAAGAGAGAACTATCAACGAATTGTGAAAGAGAGGATGTGACAGGTGGGTGTGGCAGGAGGGGGTCTGATTTTCTAGTCTATCGCTCTGTAACCAAACAAAATTGAAGGCTATAGAAATTATGGTTTGTTTGAAAAATAATGATTTTATAGAGAGTATTTTATGTTTAATTTCATACATTTTTGAAGGGTGATGGATAAAATAGGAATGATGACATGCTTAGACAAAATGTGTCACGTGGGTCACACTAGTGGAAATTCAGGATTTTTAAAAATATTCCCTTGTAAAAATCAAGAACTTAAAACTTGTATGCTATTAAAATATGGATTATTAGCTAAGATTTTATGCTATTCT